GCGACGGAAAAGTGACAATGGAACTACCTTGTTTTTTGTATCATGGTTAAATCTGTTAATTAATGATTCCTCTCAGAGCTAAAAACTATGAAATAAAAACTCAAGGCATATTCAACAAGGTAGAAGTGAGCTCTCTCATACCTGACTGTAATGTCAAAAAACGTAAACAAAGAAATTAACCCTTTGTTAGCATGTACCATATTTGATAAAATTCAATATCTATGAAATTAAAGTTTTTGTAAATATGAAAATATTTAAAATCACATCAAATCGGCTTCATTTTAGTTTTTGTATTTTCGTTTAATGTAAATGTGGAAATGCATATCTACTTACTCAAACCTCCACATTTATTTATAAAACCGTTTTGGCAATTTTCTTGTTTTTATTAGCCCAATGTTTTTGATCATTTATTTTTTTAATCAAATACTTAATTCTAGAGTATATTCGACATGAAAAAAAAAAGTTTTGATTCTTTCTTCTAAATTCACATCGGAACTTAACTTCAATAGTTCAGCTATTAAATTTTTGCAATGCGAAATTTCTTTTCCATTAAATTTATTAAAAATTACTTCCAGTTTCTTTATGTCCACAAGTATTTCTGGTTTAGGTTTTATCATACCACCATTTGACATTTGGTCTATCCATGTAATGCTTAATTTCCGTATGATAAATCCAGCTATGTATGAAAAATAAAACCACGACTCTTTTCACATGGCATTATGAAAAAAGGAAAAGGGATGTTAAGAACCAGAACGTCGAATTTATAACAGTAAGGGCCGTTTGCACCATGTCTAGTTAATTCTAACTCCCAGTTAGACATCTTTATCGACGTTATCGACACCCATCATATAACATGTGATCGATAAAGCAGTTAACGTGCTTAACTGAAGGATGTACCTCCAGTTAGCGTTAACTAGACATGGTGCAAACGACCCTAAATGGCGATCTAAAGCGGTAAATTTAGTGGAACGAAATTGTATCATGGTGTTCGCGGAGCATTTGCTTGTATGTATATGTTAATGTACTCGTGTATCCGGTCGTGCTTGTTTATGGCAGACTTACTCAGTTTGAATCTGTGCATCAACAGCTAACTTCGTCCCCACAGACACCTCAGGAACGGCTGACACTTCAGATAACTCAAGCATTGGGGAATTGTATGGTAGAGGTACTGCACCTGGGAACAAACGCGTCCGCTTGGAAATACTCGACTGTGATGGGCAACAAATAAAGTCGCTGCCACTAAAATGGTGTTCGCACACACGCGAAGAGTCTCCTAATGGAACACCGCAGCTACTTGCCCACCGCTGTCGCTTCACTTGACAATTAGGAGGTTTAAAATAACGCACAAGTTTGTTGTCCTGGCTCTTGCCACACAGAGCGCACCGCACGTAATTCCTTTTCATTTTATTTTTGTATGTATGTATTTAAAATCCGTCGCACAGCTCAAAATTGAAAATTGAAATTAAAAAATTAAAATTTTGAATTGTATAGGGTTAAGAGTTGACATTACAGTCGCAGTTCGAAAGAGAGAAATGTCGAAATCACTTCTACCTTGTTATGCCTTGTAAAAAATTAAAGTATGGCCCCAGTTGCGGCCCTTCATTTTTGTGGCATCACTCACTTTTTTCGTCCAGTTTGAAAAAAGATGTAAAAATAAGTATTTATATCATTTTGCGCGCATCGGCTCAACAGACGCCATGGCTGAGTGAGCAGAGTACTGGCGTGCCATTCGAAAGATCCGAGTTCGAGTCCTAGGGCAGGAAAATTTTATTTTTCCTTTTTTATTTATTTATTTATTTTTTCTTATTTAATTTTATAAACTGTCTGTATTGAATTTGTTAGCTTTTTTGATCTAATTTTCTTTTGGTGTATAGATTTTAGTGCTTTAAAAAGAAAACAATTTTTTTTTTAGTTTAATTAAATAGTTTGCTAAAAGACAAACAATACCAATAACAGGCCAATCCTGGCATCTGCCTTTCAACTCACCTCAGTCTTTCGAGAGACAAAAGTCTTTATATTTCGGCAACTATCTTCAAAGCCCTTTTCTGTATTTCGAATAACTAATTGACAGATGTGCTAATAGTAGGTGCAATCCCGTATTCCTCGGACTCGGACTAGTAAAACTGTCAAAAAAAAAATTCGCTCAGAGCGAGAGAGTAACATTGAAAAGTACGGGATCGCATTCTAGTAAAAAGTGGTAACTTCTGTCAACTTCAACATAACCTCCAAATTTTGGTTGTAAATTTTTGCTTATTTTGTATGTAAACACACTCAGCTCACACATGCAAATAACCAAAAATAGTTTCAAATTCATTAGAGTCCACTTAAACAAGTAATTAAATACTTTTCAACATTAATTAGCAGAAAGCACTTTTCTTTTGTTTACAATTTGGTTGCCAAACACACTACAGCTGATCGTTTGACACATTTACCAGAATTTACCAGCAAAAAATTCTCGGACTAAAACTGGTAACTTCTGACAGAGAGAACCGTATTCTCTCTCTGTTTTGTCCTCTCAGTAGTCAGAGAACCGAATACGGGATCGATTTCCAGTAAAATCTGACTGATTCTGACTATTTCTGCCTAGTCCGGACTCGTACGGGATCGCAACTAGTGTTATTATATTTATCGCTTAAGGTGTTCTTACACGATATGTTTTTGCATGTGTACATGCCGCTTTTTACATATGGAAATACCAACATATCGTGTAAAGGCAAATTAGATTTGTTTCTGTACAAAGCATATGCACGTACATACGAAATAGAAATGTTTCTATTTTCATCTGCCACACAGATAGAATCATCTAAGGATACTTTATTTCGTTTTCAAAGATCGTATTTTTAAAAAGTTAAATAAAGACTGAATTTGACAGACATACGCAATTACATATGTATTGAAAAAGTCACATTTACAGATGCAAATACATATCGTGTAAGAACACCTTTAGCAATAAGTTTTCCAAAAACTAAACGAAATGAAAAACAGGAAAAACTAAAAATTTTAGAAACTGAAAGTGAAAGAAAAAAGATGAATCCAAAAAGTTTCCAAACGTTAAATAAAATAAAAAATATGAATTTTTGAAGCAATAAAACTTAAAAAAAAAAATTGTATTAAAAAAAAATCGTTGCCGAGGATTGAACTCGGATCTCTTGAATGGTACGAAAGTGCTCTGCTCACTAGGCCATTGCCACTGATACAGCAACGTTATCGGAATTTAAATTTATTGAAAACAAACAAAAAATTTCAAAATCATTCGTTAAAAAGTTAAGTAAAGGTTTTTGTTTACTTAACTTTAATGTTCATTAAATGCCGTTAACAAATCATTAACTGACTCTGAGAGGGAATTTTTTCAAATCGTTACTGAGGGACACCTTAAGTAATCATTAAACGACTCTGAGTGCGGCTGTAAATGAATGAAAGTTTGCTGCAGACTGTTAAAAAAAATATATTTATTTAATTAAAAAAAAATCGCTGAAGATACAAGCAATTCGAAATGAAATAAAAATGGTTCGTTTTTCCACATTTATATTTAACATATCACTAGCTTAGAGTAAAAAGTTGCAAAGTCCACTTTTACAAACTTTACACGAGAGAAAAACACTTCTTATAGCCCTTTTTTCAACTAAATCGCTTCTTTTTTTTTAGTTATATTTTTTTTAGTAAATGTACGTAAACAAATGTATAAGCATTAGACCGTTCGTTAAAAAAGAAGAAAAAAGAAGATAAGCTGTGCAAAATTATATTCGAATATGATAACTCTAAGTACTTGCGCGTTGCATTTGAAAATTTAGAAAACCATATGCATTCAGGAAAATAGTTTTAACAAAATAGCTGAAAATCGTGAATTTCATAGTCATTTGCTATGTAAAATAACTCAAAGACTCTGAATATGAGGTCAAAAATAAAAAAAGTAGCAGAGGTTTTAAGAATTTGCGAAATTATCGTTTTTTTCAAATTGAGAAAACAGCATTTTTAAATTTTTCCAAAAATATCCGGTTCTGATTATCACACCGCAAAAAGCTCTCCACCAGATTAAAGGTCGTCGAAATCTCTATGAACTTGCACAAGGATGGGCAAACGCGGCTCTTTGAGCCAAATGCGGCCCTTTGCTTAGCACTTTTTACTTTGTCTCTGCATAGAAATTTAAGCTCTTTTTAATTTTTAAAATACACATTCTTTGCTGGACATTCTTTTCCATTGTGTTGTTTTTTTATTTT